TCTTATACAGGGAGTGCAGAATTATTAGGCAAATGAGTATTTTGACCACATCATCCTCTTTTTGCATGTTGTCTTACTCCAAGCTGTATAGGCTCGAAAGCCTACTACCAATTAAGCATATTAGGTGATGTGCATCTCTGTAATGAGAAGGGGTGTGGTCTAATGACATCAACACCCTATATCAGGTGTGCATAATTATTAGGCAACTTCCTTTCCTTTGGCAAAATGGGTCAAAAGAAGGACTTGACAGGCTCAGAAAAGTCAAAAATAGTGAGATATCTTGCAGAGGGATGCAGCACTCTTAAAATTGCAAAGCTTCTGAAGCGTGATCATCGAACAATCAAGCGTTTCATTCAAAATAGTCAACAGGGTCGCAAGAAGCGTGTGGAAAAACCAAGGCGCAAAATAACTGCCCATGAACTGAGAAAAGTCAAGCGTGCAGCTGCCACGATGCCACTTGCCACCAGTTTGGCCATATTTCAGAGCTGCAACATCACTGGAGTGCCCAAAAGCACAAGGTGTGCAATACTCAGAGACATGGCCAAGGTAAGAAAGGCTGAAAGACGACCACCACTGAACAAGACACACAAGCTGAAACGCCAAGACTGGGCCAAGAAATATCTCAAGACTGATTTTTCTAAGGTTTTATGGACTGATGAAATGAGAGTGAGTCTTGATGGGCCAGATGGATGGGCCCGTGGCTGGATTGGTAAAGGGCAGAGAGCCCCAGTCCGACTCAGAAGCCAGCAAGGTGGAGGTGGAGTACTGGTTTGGGCTGGTATCATCAAAGATGAGCTTGTGGGGCCTTTTCGGGTTGAGGATGGAGTCAAGCTCAACTCCCAGTCCTACTGCCAGTTCCTGGAAGACACCTTCTTCAAGCAGTGGTACAGGAAGAAGTCTGCATCCTTCAAGAAAACATGATTTTCATGCAGGACAATGCTCCATCACACGCGTCCAAGTACTCCACAGCGTGGCTGGCAAGAAAGGGTATAAAAGAAGAAAATCTAATGACATGGCCTCCTTGTTCACCTGATCTGAACCCTATTGAGAACCTGTGGTCCATCATCAAATGTGAGATTTACAAGGAGGGAAAACAGTACACCTCTCTGAACAGTGTCTGGGAGGCTGTGGTTGCTGCTGCACGCAATGTTGATGGTGAACAGATCAAAACACTGACAGAATCCATGGATGGCAGGCTTTTTGAGTGTCCTTGCAAAGAAAGGTGGCTATATTGGTCACTGATTTGTTTTTGTTTTGTTTTTGAATGTCAGAAATGTATATTTGTGAATGTTGAGATGTTATATTGGTTTCACTGGTAATAATAAATAATTGAAATGGTATATATTTGTTTTTTGTTAAGTTGCCTAATAATTATGCACAGTAATAGTCACCTGCACACACAGATATACCCCTAACATAGCTAAAACTAAAAACAAACTAAAAACTACTTCCAAAAATATTCAGCTTTGATATTAATGAGTTTTTTGGGTTCATTGAGAACATGTTGTTCAATAATAAAATTAATCCTCAAAAATACAACTTGCCTAATAATTCTGCACTCCCTGTATTTCCCATCTTGGCATACCATTTGTAAAAGTAGACAACCCAGGGTATTTAAAATTGGGTATGTCCAGTATTTTTTAGGAGTCACAAACTGTGGGCAAATTTAGTCTTCACATTTATTTATTTTTGCATTTTGGAATCTCACAAAAACTGCACTTTCACTGATATCAAAATTACACAGTTTACGGTTTTCAAAACACTCATATATGTGTTCAGTGATGTCCCACGAGTTCAGCAGTATAAAACAATATATATATATATATATATATATATATATCATATTTAATGTATTATTTAGTTCTAATTAAGTTTTATATTTCCTTATTATTTTAAGAGTTGAGGGTCTGCCTGAAAACCCAGGCGTGTTCCCCTGCAGGCAGTGATTTACACTGCTGATCCGGATTTAGGCTGGATTTGCCGGAGGGGGACCCCTTGTGTTGTGGACAGCCACCCTCCCCCATAGGTATCCTTGCAGAAGGTAAGTATCTGGGCTCCCTACAGGACTTGGTCATTAGTGCGTACTATGCCACCCTAATGTGGTTAAAGATCTAATTTTGCAGGGCGGAACACTACACCATAAAGGCGTTAAGGAGTTAAACACATTCCTAGGAACTGTATCGCTATTAAACGTAATACATTTATAAATATCAAACATCTTGAAAAAAGAGAAACAGCATAGGAAAGGGATTTGGGTTCAAAAGATGGAGCAGCTAGGGCAGAGGTTTTGTAGAAGGGGGCCAGGGCAGGGGTTTTGTAGAAAGGCGCCAGTTTTGTAGAAGGGGGGAAGACCAGTGCTTTTGTAGATAGGGGCTGGTGAGAAACTTTTAGAAAACTCCTGCCCTGCCCCTTTCTACAAAGCCCCTGGTCTCCCCCTTCTAGAAAACCCCTGCCCTTCCCCCTTATACAAAAAGCCTGCATCCTTATTCCATAAACCTCCAGCACCCACACTACACATAAGAACCCTGCACCCACCCGACACATCAAATTCATACCTCCCTTTATATAAAATCCCTGAACCCCCATCACATAAAGTTCATACACTCCCTACACATAAAAACCCTGCACAACCCCCCTTAATAAAAAACAAACCATGCACACCCCCTTAATAAAAAAACAAACCATGCACACCCCCTTTAATAAAAAAAAAACCCTGCACACACCCCTTAATAAAAAACCTGCACACCCCATTTAATAAATAAATAAAAAATAAAAAAAAACTGCTGTGCACATCCTCCCTTAATAAATAAAATACTGCACCCGCCACCCCCAATAATTAAAAAAAACTGCACCACCTCTCCATCACATAAAATTCTCTACTCACATTTTGATGCCTTGCCTCCGACCACTGGGTGCCTCACGGATAATGTATCCTTCCACTCCTCCTGGAGATCTGTGAAGGCGGACAGGCGGCGATGCGCATGTAGTCATCACGTTGCGCGGCGTCGCAACACTCCTCTCCCTGCTCCGAGCCATGCATCCAGTCAGTGCAGCCGGGAGGTGGGAGGGTCTGGGAGGGAGGGTCTGCTGCTGATTGGCTGGAATGTGTCTGCTGACTGTGAGGTACAGGGTCAAAGTTTACTCAATGATGAGTCCGTGGCGAACCGTTCGGGACATCACTAATTACGACATGTTCATATCGGGTTTATAAACACTCATTAGGGTTATATTAACCATCTGATGGTGGTTAGTGTTTTTGTGCGGGTGCAGTGCCCCTAATATGTTGTATGATTGTGGTTGTCATGTGAGTGTATTGTGTTTTCCGTAGCGGCTCTTTTCTAGAGTGATTGAGCTTCCATATACGCAGGTCTGCCATCCTACATCAGAACTATTTTGTCACTTATTCCATGAGCCATATTGAAAGATAGGGTAACCCATTGTGGATGTGTTGTCGTTCCATGTGGTGTCTACTGTTTAAGCCCTGTTGTGTGTGTATGTTTGTTGTCTACCTCAAAACTTGTGTTTGGTGTTATCCGTAGTTCTAATCGAGCTTGTTTGAGTGTACGTTATGTATGTTTGAGAGAATGTGTGCTTGAAGTAGATAATCTGTTCCTCCTCCTAGTGTCTTGTACAGTCCACTTGGCGTAGGCTTGTCATTGAGCGTATGTGTCACTTTTGGGGAAGCAGTCACAGTTGTCTTGAGTGTAGTGGTTGGGTGTGGGTATGTACAAAGTTGTGTTTATTTCTCAGATTTCCGAGTTTCTTGTCCGTTTCTTTCTGCTGTCCCCTAATTTAGTGTTTATCCTGGAAGTCAGGACTGCCACCAGAATTTTTGGGGCCCCTAACTCAGCTCAGAGTCTGGGTCCCCTGGGGCCTGCCTCCAATCTCGCCCACAGGGTCCGCCTCCAAATCCTGCCCACAGGAATACACACACAGACACAAACACACTGATACACAAGGACACAGATACACACACACACAGATACATACGAACAGACACATATTGAAACAGACATACACGCATATAGGCATACATACTGACACACACATACTGAGACATACACACATATACAGACACACAGGCATACATAGTGACTGACAGACACATACTGACATGCATGAGGACATACAGACACATACATACACACTGACATACATACAGACACCGACATACATACACACTGACATACATACAGACACCGACATACATCCATACACACTGACATACATACAGACACCGACATATATACATACATACACACTGACATACATACACACTGACATACATACATACACACACCGACATACATACATACACACTGACATACATACCGACACCAACATACATACATACATATACACTGACATACATACAGACATCGACATACATACATACATACACACACAGAAACACATTAATAATGACATACTAGCATACATACATATATGCATACATACAGACATACTGACAGACATCCATACATTCATAATGGCATACAGACATACATGCATATATACATACATACTGACATACATGCATAGTGACATCCATATACACATACACACAGACATACATTCATACTAACATACAGATATACATTCATAATGACATACATACATATACATACATACAGACATACATTCAGACATATATACATGCATACAGACATACATTCATAATGACATACATACAGACATATATAAATACATACTGACAGACATACACTGATACATACATGCATACATACAGACATATATTCATAATGACATATATACATAATGACAGACAGACATGCATGCATACAGACACACACACACACACACACACACAGCTCATTTTTCAGCCACCCTCCTGTTTCTTACCTTTTCTTTGCAGGATGGTGGCTGGGACTGAATGGAGTCGGCGCGGCTCTCCCTGTTGAGAGCCTAGCTGGCTCTCGTCCCGCACGGAGTGAGCTGGGAGGACGTGACCACTTCCTACCAGCAGCACTTGCACCGGCGGCAGTTCCCCCGCTACACGTGGGGCCCAGGTGGCCGGGCCCCGCAGGGCCGCCGGGCCTGTGACAACCGTCATGGTCACCCCCTGATGGCGGCCCTGCTTTCAGTGTCATTCCTTGCCTTACTATGAAGTTGTGTGGGGGGGTCAAGGGTGTATTGTGAATTATAGCAGTATGATGGTTTGGGTGAGAAGTGAAGGAAGTTGGATGAGACAAAGTAGGGTGGGGTGAGAAGGGGTGTGCGGGGAGGTATGGGAAGGTTGGGTGCTCTCTCTCAGACCTGGACCCCGCCAGCCGCTCCCCCCAATCTTCATGCAGGGATAGGCAACCTTTGGCACTTTCCATTTTTGGACCTCATCTCCCATAATGCTTTTACAGCCATAACACTGGCAAAGGATCAGGAGACATGTAGTCAACAACATCTGGAGTGCCAAAGGTTCTCACTCACTCTCATTCTAGCTGCCTTCATACCCATAATCTCTGTTCCATTACAGGCACTTTACATGCAATTTCACACTTACCCTACAGACTGCTGCATATGTCGAATACTCTGCCTCCTGCATAATTATGCTAAGCAGCACCATACACCATTATAGGCAGTGGTTGTCACAGTGCAGAAATGTACCAGGATCCACTGCCTGTTCAGTGTTCTACGATTGCCGATTCATAATTCCATTGTTTCCCCTAAAAAAAATTAAATTAAAATAAAAGGCCTTAAACGAACACTCTGGGGACCACAACAACTTCATCTAAATAAAGATGTTATGGTTTCAGGAAGCCGATAGAGGCATTCTTACCTCAGGGGGATAAACCATTCCCAAACAGGTTACCCCTAAGTTGCCTCAAGAGCTGATCTCCACTGACGCTCTTAGCAAATCATTAAACTAGCTTGCAGAAAAAAATACCTTTTGCAAGCCAATTTTGTGAATGAGGAATCACTGCTTGGCTGATAGTGTCAACTGACCGCTTTCAGCCAATTAGCGGAGCCCTTGCTAGGAGGCACTCCACGCTTCCTGAACCCAAAAATTCAGAGGCCTCAAGGGGAGGAGTGGAGGACGCTACTTTATAAGGATTTTTTTTTTCCTTGTTAATGCTTAATAATTTTAGTCTTTATCTTTATGCAATTTTGAAAATTTGGATTTGGTTATTCCTTTCTGTTCATAAATATGTAGAGTTATTGTTCCATAATTCCTTCATGAGGAATCTTTATGAAATTGTGCTTACACGTTATTTACATGTTTCTATTATCTTATCTTACAATACAATTATTTAAAAAAATTTAAAAAGTAAAGGGTGATCAGGGATATTTGTATGCTGGTTTATTTATGCACTAAATATCGGAATGAAGATCTGCTTTTATGACTTATATAGTTTAAATGACCTACATTGCTGTACAAAGTACACTTAATGCTAAACTCATTGCAATCACACATTTTCAGTTTCCATGGACTGAACGAGCTGTCTATGAGCCACTGACATACTGTCATTTATCTCCCATTTACACATGGCGGTTTTTTTCATTGCTTAAATCCAGAAAATCCCCCAAAGTTACCATTAGTCTATGTTTCGTGCTCCCCCAACCCAAATGTTTCTTTTGGCATGTAAGCTCATTTTTGTTCTTTATGTTTCATATGCATTATTTTAGTTTTTGCAGAACTTGTCTTTTTACAAATATTTCTTGCCAAACTATATGATTGCTTTCTGACCATATGCTGCTGATCCATATGGGGGAAATACAAAGTTTTTCCCTTCTATTAAAAAGACAAAATCCAGACTTCACATTCCTTGTACACATCATAAACATGTCACATACCAAGAACATTCCCAGATTATCCAGTGATGTATCTTACAAAGAAAGTCAGACAAGAATATAGACCTGTATATTCACTGCAGAGCTAATTGTGGTTTGCTCAATAGCTTTTGCTTAAAATACCACAATGTCATTTTTACATTTAACGTTTGTAGTCTGTCTATTGTTATAGAATATTTATATAGATGAAAATATTCCATGTTACATTCTTTATAAACATACACAAGGAGCCAATTTCCTAGGAAAGATGTCTAATTTCTCTTCTTCCACTAACAATACCTCCCCCCCTCTATTCTATGCTCACTCGCACATGCTATGCCAGCAGAGGTTTCTCCTCTGCTTCAGTCCTCCAGCTGCACCACTTGTTCCCTCAAACCTATTCTCTGACATCACACTCGTGCTCTGTCTCCTTCTCTTGCTCTGCCCATCGCTAAAATATAAAATCTATATATTTGTGGCATACTCCCTTCACCGTTTAAGCATGCAGACATTATCCTGATTCTTAAAAAAAAAAAAAAAAAAACACTACTCGACCTGGATCCTTACTCTTCATCCAACTGCCGCCCTATATCAACACTACTGTTTGCCTCGAGATAGTTGTGTATGCTAGATTGACCGACTTCCTTGAATCCAACTCTCTCCTTCATCCGCCTACGTCTGGATTCCACTCTTGTCCCTCTGTCGAAACTGCTCTGACCAAATTGGAAGCCAAGGCAACACCTTGAGCTCCTTGTCTTGTGTCTCAAACCATTCCTAAATAACTTTTGTAGCGTGGCAGGCTACATTATCCTGCTGAAAGAGGTCTTTGCTAACAGAGTACATCATTGCCATGAAGGGGTGTACGTGGTCTGAAACATTCTCTAGGATGGTGGCATGAGTCAAAGTAACATTCACATGGATGCCAGGACCCAAGGATTCCAAGCAGAATACTGGCCAGCAGGGCCGCCACCAGAAATTTTGGGGCCCCTAACTCAGCTCAGGGTCTGGGTCCCCTGGGGCCCGCCTCCAATCCCGCCCACAGGGTCCGCCTCCAAATCCTTCCCACAGGAATACACACACAAACACACAAACTGATACACAAGGACACAGATACACAGACACAGATACATACGAACAGACACGCATACTGAAACAGACATACACGCATATAGGCATATATATATGATATACAAATTTAAATAGTCCCTCCTTATCATATAAGAGCGAGGTCTCCACTTCACATGGCAATATTTTTCTTGTCCAACTCTGGGACCAACGAGCAGACTGCAAGTGTTCTTCAGTCTGGGAGGTGCATAAGCTACTGTCAGGGGGATCTGGTCTGATAATCCACAGAGCAGGTTCTGTTATGGAACAAATGTGCGTTCACAATTTATGCATAGCGAGATTCTCGGCTTCTGTTTGGAGACATTCCCAGGAGGCTTGCGTATTGGCCCAAGTTCTCCAAAGAATTTGGATAAGGGTAAAATGGCAACACCTGCACCAAAGAAAGATACTTACAAACTCAAACATCTCTCCTGTTTGGAGTGTGCTATGCCACTCCCAAATGGATGCAAAAAGAAGATTTGAAATCAATGATCCTCTAAAAGTTTGAAAAAATTTAAACAGAAGGAAATGCAATCGTCTCCACTGGTTTCAAAATAATCTTGCACAAACATTCGAGTCAAAGAAACCGAAAGATCCAGTATTCCAGTTAAGATTCAGTAGCGCTCTAGTTAGAAGCGTAAAAGAGAAAAATCTTCACGCTCTTGTCTTCTGGGGAATGTTCAAACATCTCTTATTCTTCTCTGTCTAATCAATATTCTAGTATGTAAGAAGGTTTTCCAACAGAAGAACCTTTGATTCATGAAGAAAGTATCCTCTATTTTACACAAATATGTACCTTCTAAGCAAAGGGTCAAAAGGTTTTCCTGTACAACCTAAGTTCCTGGAGTTTGTGCAAAGAGAATGAAAAATCCCAGAAAAAAAAAATGCTTTTATTTTCAAACATTTCAAAGAACTGTTTCCATTACAAGACAATGGGAAATGGGAAAAACTGCCTAAGGTAGATACGCAAGTAGCCTAGCTGTCCAAGAATTCGACTCTACCTATCCACCTATCAGTGAAGTTTCAGGTTTGAAAAACCCGATGGATAGACGAGCAGAAACTTCTTGCAGAAGGGTGTTCCAGGCAGCAGACTTTCAATGTAAGGCAGCTTTTCTCCAGAGCTTCAGTTATAAAAGCACAAAACAAATGGTTTCAATCAATAGAACATTGTTTACTTTAAAGTGCAGAGTAAAAATTGCCACATTTAATTCACATCAGACTGGTGATTGGTGGCATGTTGGAGATGTCTGAAATTTTAAAACTTTCAGCCAATAAATTGGGTTTATCTTCGGTAGCCAGAAGGGCCCTTTGGCTCCGATCTTGAACAGCTGACACCGCATCTAAAGCTTAATTGTGTGAAATACTACTGGAAAGTGGCAAAATATTCGGTTCACAATTAGAAGAATTGTTAAATTAAATGTCAGACACCAAGAAAGCACTTCCACAAGAAAGTAGATACTCTTCTGGGAATAGAAGATTTCAGTACCGGAATCAAAGGTCATTCAGATATCACAATAAAAATATCTTTATTTCTACAAAAAGAGAAGTCCGGCACTCACTCCCATCACTCCTGGGCGGCAGCAATAACCATAGTACACATCAGCCCCAATATATAGTTAAAAACCAATGGCCATTGGAGAGAATGCCCGCCTGCCAAAGTCAAAGCAGACCCCCCTAAGCAGGTCCTACACTGACCCTTCACCTAAATCTTTATTTACATAGACAACCTAGAGACAACAGGTTCAGTGATAAAACATCTAACAGGCAAGCCAAAAAGAAAAGATTCTGACGCCAAAGTTGGAGGAAGGCTTCAAAGGTTTTACTAGCCATGGGCAAAGACTACCTCAAATCCATGCACCCTGAATTTGATAAAGAACAGATCCAAAAAAATCAGATTCCTCGTGAAGACCCAGATCACACTTTCTGATAAATTCATATCATTCTCAAGCAAAAAGGGAAGCTCTCCTGGCAGAATCCATGGTTTTCTTTAAAAAAAAAAAAGTGTCATTGAGATAAAAAAAACAAAAAACAAGAGAGACAAGGAGTTTACTCAAGAATTTTTCTAGTGCCCAAACAAAAGCTAACAGTAATGCCTGTTCTGGATTTCAATTTTTTAATTAAAAGCCATCCAGTCATTTATTCACATTTTGAATATAGGAGGAGATATCATGGCTACTGTAGATCTGAAAGATGCATACCTACACATTCCTATGGCAGTAGCCAAAAACAATTTTTTAAGGTTTGCAATTTATTCAGGAACAAGAACTCTCCACTTTCAGTTCAAGGCACTTCCTTTCGGTTTGGCATCAGCTGCAAGGGTCTTTACAAAAATCTTAACTCCCTTGGCTGCTAATCGGAGAGAAAAATAACTTCTCAATAGTGCCC